CGGCATCTCCCTCAGCCCTCCCCTGCAGTTGCCCACAGCGCTGCGTTCCCACCGATTGTTTATTTGGCATGTCGGTGTCGCCTTACCATCCAGACAGGTTGCTCCCTTGTTGCAAATCATCCCGTTTGTACAATTAACTACTATTATATGTATTTTCAGTTTCCATCTCTGCCCATTATACTTTATTGCCTACTTAACGTTTCTTCTTCCCTTGCGCATGGATGAACATTCCGACATGTTAACGGCCATATTCAGATCGTTCTCAGCCAGGATCCCCTCCCAGTGATTATTTACGTCGGTGTGTGCTATCCTTGACGTCCTCGGCCGCTACAGTGCAGGTGTGTCGGAACACATTCAGAGGAGGTTCTCATCACTTGAAAGACCCGGAAGGATGCGTGAGAGGGGTACGGCCGACACAGGTATGTCTCCTCATAGTTGCTCAGCCAACCCCTCACCTGAAGAAATCTGACTCGTTTGAACCTATCACAGCGTGGCTTGGAAAGGTGCCAGCTGACAGGATGACTCGTTCCTCTCCGGACGGGAATTCAGGCTTCAATGGCTCCTTTCATAGAAGTGCGTTCGGCAACATCCTCCCTCTTTCTTAAGCCTGTTGCGTGTGGTGTTAGGGACTAAGGACCGACGTGCTGGAAGCTATCATGGTGCGCTAAAAGCCGTGGCTTGGAAGGTTGCCAACTGACGGGATAACTTGGACCTTCCAGACAGGAGGTCTGAGAGTCAGGCTACAATGGCTCCTTCTTACTGTGGCCTTAATGGCACTCCCACTGTGTGGGATCCGAGCCAGGCGTTTGCGGCACGTCTAGGTGCGGCTTCGGTCATGCCAGCCTCCAAATCTCCCTTGTGTTGGTTGAAATCCTGGTCATTTGTTGTGTGGACCAGCGGGTGTGGTGGAGCGCCAAGGCGAGGATCCGTCCCAGCCATCCACCTGCGGCCTCCCTTGTCTCCGGTCTTCTTGACTCTGTCTTGACATCGGGCTCAGACGGGGGAGGAGAGTGTGGTAGATGCAGCGCAAGTCTACTGGTATTATAAACCCCTGCGAAAGTCACTATTCCTGCTTTCACCGCTGCTGCTGTGGAACATATGGTGGACATCGTCGGATGCGACGGTCAAACTATCGTGCGTGTGTGTGTGTGTATGTGACACGCCTACACGAGGTGATTTGCTTTGCCTGCTACTGAACCCATAACCATATCAAGCCGCCTTGTCTCTGTCTTGCCATCAGAACATGGTGGCTGTGGCCATAGAGTGTGAAGTGAGTGCGTTGCAAGCCTGCATCGCCTCACAAAATTTATGCAAGTAATAACTTTATCCTATTAAGAACGGTCATGGTCTAGCGCCACCGATTGCCTGCTGACCTAAAGGTCAGCATTCCCTCCCCTCGTTTCAGAATACTTCTGTCACTTCTGAGATATAGGCATTTTTGCATACCATAGAAGAAATGGTCACGCTTCCTCATCAAATCGTTGATAGAATAGGAGAAAAAGCCCTTACTCGGCGAAACATCGAACGGGGAAAATAAAGGCAACGTCTCGCGTAAGAGTGAGATTCATACAGCGAAATGCTGGTTATATCTGGGACGTCTCGCTCGCATCGCGCAAGAGGGCTGCTCAATGAGAATAAAATCACGCAAGTGGTAAACCCAAAGAAATTAACTTTCGGAAAGCCCATTGAACCTTACACCATTAAGCGGACTCTTGAGTTATTGCCTGCCCCCATCCTTCTTCACTCCGCGGCTTCCCGTGCTGGTTTTTATGGTAGATGCGCCGTAAAATAGACGCAGCGACTGCGATGGTTGCGCTTTTTGTTCAAAAGCACTTTATTGCTTTTACTGAATGCGGTACAACACTGCAGTAGGAAGAACTCTCCACAAACACTCAAAAACTACTAGTGCAAGCACTAGAACGAGTGGAGACACATCTTCGGAAACACTGATACCTCTAGCTAAAGACGCAGTCCTGTGGACCGGGCTAGAAATTTAAAGGCTCAAGAGAATAAACCTACATCCTATCATTGGCCAACGGCTTTTTCAAGCCAAACCCTCCCTCTTTTTTACGTTTTGCGCCTGTTTTCGTGCCTGAGTTCTTCGCATTCCCTTCAAATATGTAGAGTTCCGTGGTCGCCAGCAGCGTTAGCTGAGTTCTTGAAGTTCATCTCCAGTGTGGGGTTTTTCGTCTCCTTTTCATTTGAGGAGGCAGTTCTGTTTCTGTCAGTCGAGGTGGAAGAACTGTTGTAGATCCACTTCGAACTGTCACTTCTCTTATTGGCTTTTGATTGTTGATTCTCAGGGTGATGATCGAGTGAATCGCGCTTTCGATTGCGATACATTGTGGTATTCATGTTGGCTGTGGTAGTTGCAGCGCTAGAAATCACCCCGTTGTCCCGTTGTTTACCGCCAGCGGCAGCCGTTGTGGTCTTAGGTCGCGACTCCGTCACAGACATGGTTTCATTGGGCTCGGCTGAGGGAGTTAACAAGGTTTCACCTGATGTTGACGGTAGGCCCACATCCGGTGCGCCAACAAAGTTCCTGGGATATCCAGTGTTCCGAAAGTAGCCCCCACAGAGAGCGCTCTCCAGGGAGGGGTCGTAGATCGGGGGGAGACCAGTCCAATTACTGGCAGATGGATGGGGCTGCAAAATTATGCCCGAAGTCAGGCCGTAACCATGCGCAGCTACACCGGCCTGTGCATCACCCCAGCACGGAGCCCTGACACCAGCCGTAAATGGCCAGGTATGTAGCGGACGTTGCATTTGCCAACTAGTTCCGGGTGATTTCTCGAAGGACTCCTTCTTTTCAATTCCTGACGCTGTCGTTTCCACTGAATCAGGGCATTCCTCCTTGATTTTAGGGGTTTCTGCCTCTGAGGCATCCAGCATTTCTGGCCGATCCTTGCCGTAGACATCAGGATCATCACCCGACG